CACAAATGGCTGGATTTCATCGTTTCTTATGGCTGAGTAGTATTCCATTGTGTATATATACCACATCTTCTTTATCCATTCGTCCCTTGATGGGCACTTATTGCCTATTTTTTGAATAATGAGCATGTATCATTTTAATAAAATGGATAAAGTCATTATTTAGAAAAGACAAATGACAGAATGGAATAAACTTTGTAACATATGTAAGAATAAGTATTAATATTCATATTATATAAAGAACTACCAAATAATAGGAAAAAAGTAAAACAGTTGAAAAATTGGGGTGATATGAACAGGTAACTTATAGAAGAAATACAAATGTCCAATAAACACAAAATGATGCACAACCAGACTAGAAATCAGGAAAATGCAAATTAAAATGAGATTCTTTTTTTTTTTTTTACGTCTTCCCCCAGAGTGATAATAATTTAAAAAGACTGTTAATATCCAGTGTGGGTGAGCGTTTCTGGGAATGGGAGCTCATACACTTTTGGTGGAATATGAATTGAGAAGGCTTTTTTGGAGGACAATTTGGCACTATTTGCCAAAATTCAAAACACATATCCTTCTGATGTAGTAAATCCACTTTCTTAGAAGTTCTGTCCTAGAGAAACACTCTCAGAGATGCCCAAGAATATCTGTCCAAGGGGGGAAATCGGGATGGTCTGAGGCTTCTTTACAATGACAGAAGCCAATGGAAGGATGTTGATTTAGCTTTTGTTGGTGGTAGTAAAAAACAAAACAAATAGGGAGACCCTGAACTAAGGAAAACTCTGGATTATGAACACAGTGGATCTATATGTACTGATAAGGGAAGTTCTATATGATGTATTACTAGGTGAAAAACAGAACAGCAAACAATAGAATGATCTCAATCATGTAGCCATAGAAAGTTATGTCTATGTGTATACGTGAGATATAGGTATGTAAAGGCAGAGAGAAAAGACTGGAAGGATACATACCAAGCTTAACAGTGGCTACCCCTGGGGACAGAGGTGGGGTTGGGAAAGAGCATGAGGGGGTATTTTCATGTTTTAGTCCATATAACTTTGTGTTGTTTGAATCTTTTGCAGTGAAGATGTATTCATTTATTACTTGTATACTTTTTTTAAATTTGAAGAAAGAAAGTGGGGTAGATGAACCTAAAGCCCCAGAAGCTGATAGTATGGTTTAGATGAGGCTGGGGTGGGCACAAGGTAGAGATGGTGACAAAGGACAATGGGGAGAGGGAAAGTCAGGAAAGAGGGAATGGTTAGCGGTTTAGACAGACCCGTGCCACACTGAGTAATGATCAGTTGTTTTTGTGAGACATGCCAACTGCAGAGTTTATATTGCTGAAATTCCCCTCTTTGGTGCAGTTTAGCTGTGCATTTGAATTGACTGTGAGGAACTCTATAGGAGGGTGAAAGCGTACTCTTAGAGAAGGTGGGAGGAGGGGTGCACCTCAGGAGGGCATTTGATGGAATAGCTCTTACTCTACTTTTTAAAAAATATCTATACCTCCTTGGATCATAATTTTGAAAATTTAGTCTGTAATGTAGTAGCCTGAGCTTGTCAGGGGGCCATGCTCAGTTTTGCTGTAACATCCATGCTAGGGACTTCTAGCTGGAGAAGACCACCTTAGAGATGAAGGCTACTGGGCTTTTACAGTTCTTCCCTGTTATGTAGAGGGAGGTTTGTATTTTACACATTAGTGTTCTATCTGAGCTTCTACTGTCAGAAGGGCAGTTTTGCCTTCAAGGGGAGTGCAGTGTATCTTAACTAAGAATCAGTCCTGAGAAGGACTCATAATCCTCTCTTCTCTTCCCACCAGGGCATCAATTGAAGAGAAATATGGCAAAGATCTGCTCAACCTCTCTAGGAAGAAGCCATGTGGACAGTCTGAGATCAAGTAGGTGCCACATTTCTTTCTGGTGTCCATGGGGGCTAATACTGCCCAGGAGCCCCTATCACTTCAGCAGACAGGGTTGGCCAGTAGGGTGAAGCGTGTTGGTGAAATAATTTTTAATTATTTTTTTTCTTATTTCCATTTGTGAAAAACATAGAAAAGTAGAAAGAAGACTAAAATGAACTACGAAGCCACAACCCATTATTAATATTTTCTAAATTTTCCTTGAAGTCCTTTTCTATGTATACTTTTTCATAGACAGGAATATATTATATATAATTTTATACTAGAAATTTAATAGAGGGGCTTCTACACATAAACACACACACACATATACACATATATAGTTTGTGATAACTACGAGAGACTGTCTTTGCACCATTTTATACTTCTCACCACCAATGTGAGATTTCTGTATCACAATTATTTATTCTTCCATCATTCACTGAATACTCTGAGGATACAGAAGTGGCCAGGACAAGGGTCTACTTTAGGAACACACTCCCTTATATACAGGGCTGGCTTCATGGGCAGTCGTAGAGGATCTCACACTTAAAAAAGGTCCATAATTGGTTTAATGCTCTTTTCTGTCACCATTTTGAAATTCTTAATAATAATTTATAACAAGGGGTTCGTGTTTTCATTTTGCAGTGGCCCTCACAAATTATGTAGCCACTCCTGCTCATATGGAAATTTCTAGATTCCTTCTCCAACATACACATGTTGAGAGAGGCTTGGGAGAAATAGTTCAGGCAGACCTTCGGAGGTCTCCGCGGGCCTAATCATCTCACATACTGACCTGCATACTGCTTTGGCTGGGCTGTAGACAGCTGCACAGATGCCCTAATGTCTGTGTCCCCTCAGAGGTCCTAATGGAGGCAGACAAGACATTGCTCTCCCTCTTCTTTTCTCTTGCTTCTAACACACACACACACACATCCCAGACTGCAAAGAAAAGTACTGAAGGAGGAAAACATTGGGAGATATTTAAAATTTTAATAGTTATGTAAGCCTAAAAAACTTGTCACCCTCAGACATAGGACATTAGTACAAGGAGAATTTGTTTATTGATTTATTGTACAAGGAGAATTTGTTTATTGATTTATTGATTATATTATATTTTATTTTTGATATTTTAAATGAAAAATTTAAAACACACTGGAAAGTAAAAAGACAAACATAAGGAATGGCTATATACCTATCACCTAGATTTAACAATTATTCACATTTTCCGTATTTTCTTAATATAATTTTTTTGTGAAAATGTTTAAATTTAAACACTTTAAATTTAAACCTGGAATCATCTATTTCTGAAAGTATATCTGGTTTCTTTTAGTGATTAATCATATTTGGAGATGAAACTCTGAGTTCTAGCCTTGGTCATTGTCACAGAGATGTTACTATCTCTAGGCCCTTTCAGGGGGCAGATTTTAAAAACATGAGTTCATATTGATATTTCCAATTATAATTTAACTTTACAGGATTTTACTTCTTTAATTTTATTTCCTCTTGCACTGAAAATCTTGGTTCCTGACAATATTAGCATAGTTTGCTTTATAGGACAATATAGAGTAAAATATTTCAAAATAACAATACCAATATTGCTATTAAACAATATAAAACTTCTGAATGAATTTTAACATTTCTTTGTAGTTCCTTTTGATCTTGGAATATATCCCACTAAGAATACTGTGTTCTAAGGTCACTTAAAAAGTTTATTTTCTCTATGTGATTGTGTAAATGATTTCATATATAGTTAAGTTTATTTCAGTTTGTTTTAAATTTTAAGGATTGTTTTCTTTTCCCTGTTTGATTTAGTTTTATTTTTTGAATATGTAAAACATTTACATGTTCAAAGGTCAAAACTGCATAGACTTAGATAAGTTTCACTGTCATTTAAGGAGAGTTTAGGTAATTTCAAGGAAGATTAGTGGATCAGTTGACCAAAAAACTTATTTATAAAGAAAGCATAAGCTGTTTGGGAAGATATCTAGAAAGTTTTGAGGTGATGGAAAACAGCCATATTCCCTCACAGAGTACTTCTTGGAAAAGATATTTAGCAGACTGAGTCTGATCCAAAATGATATTTCTTGTATTCTTACACATGACTTATAGCTTAGTAAATTCATAGAGAGACTCTAGCACTGTTCCCTTATGTTCTGTGACAGAAGCCAGCCAGTTTTCCTTCTAAGAATATAGCTCAGAGAGGAAGATGCAGCAGGATATGAGAGCTGGGGCCTGTCTTTCCAAGAATGAAGTGAAAAACCATTTAGGTGACTTCTGTTTTTGTCACCTCCAGGATGATCTTTAGGAAGGTGCCCTAGATGAGAGTGCATGACTATGCTTATCTATGGACTAGGAAGGATATTTTTACCTCAGTGGCCACTTTGAAAGACTCTGGCTTCTGATGGGCCTTGTTAGGGTTTAGGGGCAAAGTTCTTATGAAAAGGGTGGTAGGATATTTTCTTTTCCTACAAGTAAGGAGAACACCAAGGAGAAGAGTGGCTGGATGTTGTTAGAGCACCATCCCCAAGGTTCAGATTCTATCCTTGGATTGTCATCATGTCCTGAACACAGGAAATGGCAATGAAGTGATGACGTGCGACAACAAAGCTAATGACAAACTAAAGGGAGACTGGGGCTGCTCTTTTAGTGGCCCTACAGGCAGTCACTTAGGGTGAGAGAAAAATTTTAGACCCTGGACAGACTATTTATCTATAAGGCTGGCTTTTCAACTCCATGACTCACTGTGGGGAAAGACTTCCAATTGTATCTGCTGCCATATCCATCTTTCTTTCTCAGCAATTCCATTAATAAGTTTGCTCTTCAGTGCTGCTCATTCATCCTTCTGGACCATTGGTGCATTTGTTTGGATATGGACACTTTTCTAGAGCATTGCGTTCCTTGAAAAATTGTACCATAAGATGGGTAAATTTTATGGAGAATGTGCATTTATGTTTTTCTTCTTGATGTGTTTGTAATAATTGGAAATGTTTGTGTGAGAAAAGGCAGGGAGAAATAAGAATGCTTTGTTTTGGGATAAATAAACAGAGTGGGAAAAGTGAGGTAGCTAAAAGAAGGGGCCAGCTAGAAAATACAAGTGTTTTTACTTTGCAAAATAGCAGAACTTGCTACGTATGTATATATGTATAGAAAATGATCCGTGATCCTATGCTGTTGTGGCTAGGGGACCATGAATTCACAAAGTCTCATTCCTACCCGAGTGGCTAGACTGAGCCCAGTGATATCTGCTTCCATGAAGGCAGCAATGAACAAGAAAATTCCCAGGGCCAAGTCACCTCTGAAGGAGGTTTACTTAAGGAAGTGTAGGGTGAGGGAGAACTAAAACCATGGGCAGGGGGAGCTATAAGGGAGGAGGAGCAATGGGCTATAACACAGAGGAAAGGGGATTGAGAGAATGTATGAAAAATGTGTCACGGTCTTCTCCATCGAAACTGAGATAATAAATGTGTACTGTTTTAAGCTGCTAAATTTGTTGGTAGTTTGTTGTTCATCAATAGAACACTAATACAGTGTGTTTAATATCTGTCTCCTCCATTAGACTCTAAGGTCTGGGACGTTGTCTGTCTTGTACCATTGAATCACCACCATCTGACACAATGCGTGGACCATAGTTTATGCTCAATAAGTTTGTGACGATTGATGAATGGATGGAAAAGGAGGTGATCAGGAGCCAGAGATTGAACCCTTCCTTTACTGGCTTGTATCCATATTTCTAACTACCATACTTTAAAGAATGATTGATATTCTTATGAGAAAGAGATCATAACTCCTCTATTATCATTGGCGGAAATGAAGCATAAAGAATGTTGGCTTCTTGCTCTACCCAGGTAGACAGTGAAGATTTATGATTCTTGTGCTGGGATTGAGAGAGTAAGAAAGAGGAGACTGGACTGAAGAGGTCTTGATCTGTTGCTGTCTTCTCAAGCTCATGGGCAAAGATGAGTCTGTAGGCTATAAGTGAAGATGTGGGCAGAGAGAAGCATGCAGGGCATTATAATAAGATGGTACAGCCAATTTCCAGAACTGAAATTATATGTGCTTGTTTTTTAGCACCCTGAAGCGGGCCCTTGACGTCTTCAAGCAGCGTAAGTGATTCTTTAAAAATGTATTTGCAGGGCTGGCCTGGTAGCATAGTGGACAAGTTTGTGTGCTCCACTTCAGCAGCCTGGGGTTCTCTGGTTTGAATCCCGGGCGTGGAGCGATGCACTGCTCATCAAGCCATGCTGTGGCAGCCTCCCACATAAAAAAATAGAGGAAGATGGGCACAGTTGTTAGCTCAGAGCCAATCTTCCTCACACACACACACATACGCACACACAAAATGTATTTGCTGTCTTTGGCAATCTCTGTCTCTGTCATAAAAGGTGGGTTTCAATTTGAACAGCGATCTCATATTGGGTGAAAAAAAAATTAGAGCAATCCTAAGGTGAGAAGTAGCTCTGCAGAGCTGAAATGAGCTGAAAATCCCCCACAGCTGCACATGATGATGTGCATTTGACCAACTTAGAGCAGTGGTTCTCACACCTGAAATCCAGGGTGAGGCCCTGGCACTTTGATCTTCAAGGGGTCCTGCCCAGTTCTAATATCCCCCAGGCCTCTGATTCAGAAACTGTCTTTAGGGATTTCTGTTCTTCACAATACTTGGTGCTTCCAAGCTAATGATTTTAACAAGACATAATGTGTGTGGTATGGGCTCGAAGTGTCTCTGTACCCAGTTGAGTGGTTCTAGACCTTTGTAAAGGTTAGCTAAATAAATATTGATCTTAACTTTCCCATAGATGGTGTCCTCTTCCCTCTTTAACTCATCAATGAATACTTTTCTCAAGGTAGGGACAGTATCTTTTCGTGTTTCTTATATGCACTGCAAGGCCAACCATGGCGTGGCCTGAGGGGACTACAGCACAGGCTGGGTCTCCTAAGCTTATATATTTGCTGTTACTTTTCTTTCCCCCACCCAAAATAGTTTCATTTTCTTATTATTAAAATAATTTATATTTATCTTAAAAATTCAAATGAGACAACTAACTATAAAGAAGATAAAATAACTAACTATAAAGAAAACACTCGAATTTCCACTTCTTAGTGATAAGCAGTTCTGGGTAAATATACCTCCAGACATTTTTATGCAATTAAACATATGCATATGTATACTACATATGTATCTATTCATATAAATAAATAGGATTATACCATGGCAGTGGTTCAGAATCTATGGGGTGGGGCCAGAGCATATGTTTTTAAAATGAAAATATCAACTTTTAATCATGCTGCAGTTTGGTATGTATCTTTCCAGACCTTTTTCTATGCATTTACAATTATCTTTCTCTCTCTCTTAATTGCAGCCAGACACACACAAACAAGAGTGAGCTTTTGTATAAGTGAGATCATACTATACACATCTCTCTGCTATTTGCTTTTTTACTTAACAATATATCTAGACATCTTTCCATTTCAGTTCGTATAGATCTGCCTTTTTCTTTTACATTAAAATTTTTTTTTTCCTGAGGAAGAGTCTCCCTGAGCTAACATCTGTGCCAATCTTCCTCTATTTTGTATGTGGGTTGCCACCACAGCATGGCTGCTGACGAGTAGAGTAGGTCCACACCTGGCAACCAAACCTGGGCCGCTAAAGTGGAGCATGCCAAACTTAACCACTAGGCCACTGGGCTGGCCTCAACATTTAAAATTTTTGAGTCTATCAAATGCCAAATTTCCTCCAGAAAGGTTGTACTGATTTTCCCCCCACCAACGGTGCTGTTTGTCCCCATGCTTGCCAATACCAAGAATTTTCATGCTTTTAAAATGTTGCCAAACTAAAAGGTAAAAAAATTATGTATTTCTGGGTTTCAAAGTTTTACAATTTTTTCAATAGTTTTAAGGCTGAATATATTTTCAAATGTTTATTGGCCATTTAGACAATCTGTTTAAAATTTCATATTACTTAACCAGTTTTCTATATTGGAATATATATATATTTCTTTTGATTTGTGAAAGCTCTTTTATATAGCTATTTACTCTGTTATATAAATTGCAAATATTTTTCCAGATTTTCATGTATCTTCTAACCAAGGTTGTTTTGACACATACAAGTTTAAAATTTTTTCTTAGGTCAGATCTATCAGTCTTTCTAGCTTTAATGCTATGCTTTGATTGGTTTTCTTAGAACAAGTAAAATAAAAATTTTAGTTTTTCTACCATAAAGGTAAGCCATGCTCATTGCAAAGATCTTAGAAAATAAAGGGAAAAAAATCACCAATAATCTTTCTATCTAGAGATAATTATTGGTAGCCAAAATTTTGGTGTATGACCTTTCTTACAAATGCTCAGGCTCATGAGATGTTATAGATGGAAAGAACCTTAGAGTCATCGAATGAGAAATAAGGATCGAATTTGACATCGCAGATGTCAACCTGCTTTGCAGGTTTAGTAATGTCTCCTAGCATGTACGCTCTGTGAGCTGGGGCCTTGGCCGTGTTTTCCTCCCCAGCCCTGGGCATACACTAGGTTAGGAACAGTTACTGGTAGGAGGCTAAGCTAAAGATTTACTAGCTCGGTCTTGGTGGCCGGGGCAATGCTGGGCACATGGAGGGGCTCAATAAATGTTTGCAACCAAATGAAGTAGGTTAATTTTACCACTAGCTCCAGTATTTTGTATATATTTTTAAATTTTGTGTGGTTTTATATATTTAAATTCAGACATATATAGATCTTGTTTATTTTTTAACAATTCTTTTTGCAGAAGTAGACAATGTGGCACAATATCACATTCAGCTTGCACAGACCCTAAGAGAAGAGGCCAGGAAGATGGAAGAATTCAGGGAAAAGCAAAAGCTGCAACGGAAAAAGGTTGGGTTTGCATATGTGTTAAAATGTTGCTTTTCCTCTGGCAGAAAACTCCAGGCTTGTTTGTTCATTAAACAACTTGACTCACTCCTGCCCTCATGCAGCCATGCTCTTATTTTAACCCATGAGATTATTTATTGGGGAACCGTGTGGGGACTCAATCTAGATGGTTATGCCTCTGTGCCTATTTGCCCCCCAGACCAGTTCTTTTTCAATTCTTGCAGGATTCAGGAGTCTGGACTGCTTTCCTCTTCTTTTCATATCTGCTGCCAGCATTCAGACTGTGACTGGAAAGGGGAACCCTTTGTCTTCACTAGAGTCTAGCACAGCTGAGCTGGAAGGTTCGCAGACCACACTCCTCCTCCTGGACAAGGCAGTAATGGAAGGGCGAGAAGTGGAGGAGACTCACATTGTCCCTGGAGACCATAATGTCCAACCACCCTATTTTACAAATAGGGAAACAGAGGCCCTGGGAAATCCAAGTCCTTTTTGTCTTCAAAGCAGATGTGCATAGGCTCTTTTTCATTGATGAGGTTTACTTTGGCCAACTACGTGGAAGGAGATGAGAGTGAGCAAGAGTTAATAAAACCGGCCAACTTTTGGGAAGTTATAAGGATCAAGAAAAGAAGTCCAGATTTCTATTCAAGTATTCCAGCCACTGTTCTGATTCCCTTCTATTTTGTTCCTAAAAGACTTGTATATTCAGGTTGGCCTGGCAGCCAAGTAGCACCCTTCCAGAATTTCCTTTTTTATATCTGGTCTCCAAGGCTGGAACCCTGCTTCACATAGGGTACAAGCTCTTCCCTATATGGCATCCAAAGATTTCCACCCAGGTCTCCCCAGATACTTCTGCATGGACTTTTTGGAACCTTTCCTCATCTTGACCCTTTACTGTCCCAAGGTCTTTGTCTGTAGTGTGTGTATCCAATAAACATCCAGCTGTTAAGGCTGATTCTACCCATACCTCAGTCTCAGCAACTTTGCCTGTGGTTCCAAGTCAGAGTCTATTCCAGCTTCCTTGGTGGAATGCCCCTCCCTTGGCATTTTGAGTGGCGGCAGCATCTTAAGAGCCTGACTGTGTTACCTCTATTGTCATTTCGTGAGCTGCTCTTACAGCTGTGCTTCTTACTAGGAAGCAAGGGCGGAAACTAACATTTAAGGAACACTGTATCAAGTGCTTTCCCACACACTCAAGCTTCGTTTATCAGGTTTGAGGGATGCATCTGGCCCTAAGTATTTTTCAGAGCAGAAACAATATGTTTATTGCACTCACCCATGGGATGGTCACACTCTTTTTGGCTGACATTGCCAATTCTGCCTACCTGTCTAGAGGAATCCAATTTTTCAGAAGCCAAATGCCTTAGACAACCAGAGTCTATGCACACATGATTTCCACTAAGAGGAGAGGAAGGTCATTTCTTAATATTCTCAAGGGCCCTCAGTAGCCTTAGTCATTTAAGGGAGAGTTTTGTTAATTTTGCAAGGCTTCTGAAACTTCACCTCCTAACAAGCTACAACGACCAAATTCTCACAGCTAGAAGAACATGCTCCGAATTCTCTTAAGCAATAGAGGACCCTGTGCTCAATCTACCACCTCACCCAAGCTCCTTATATTCCATGTCCTCTCTGCAGCAGGAAAAGATCTTCCAAGCTTTCTTTGAAAAGTCCAAGGTTTATTAATAAACCTGTAATTACTTGTGTCACAATGAACTCTGGGTTGTACCACTTCTGTATTTAGATACTTAAAAAAAAAATCCAACTTTGGGAGAAAATGTGTCAGTGCCAACTTCTCATTTTCATTGGTCAAACCCTGCACACTTTGGTCTTTCACTTCTTGGAAATTAAACCATTTCCACTTATCAAGGAAAGCCATTAGTTGGTAAACTGGGGTGGGGGAGGTGCAGGTAGAATGGCTGCTCAGAAGTTTATGGCGTACTCACACTTATACAACTGATGTTTTCCGAGGGTGGTCAACAGTACAGACATGGTCATCCTTCCCTCACTGAGCATGGCCAGAAAGACTGACATGACGTAGTAATCATCCTGGAGTGTGATGAGCCTTAAATGGTAGGGGAAGTGAAGGTGCCATCTGAACATACAGTGGAGACACCTAACCTAATCTGTGGGGCTGGGGACACCTCCTGGAAGAAATGACCTTGAAGCTAAAACCAGGAGATTGAAAGGCAGTATAGGTGAGACAAGGCTGTCATCACTGGGGGTTGGCAGGGTAGGGAGGGGTCTTAGGAGCCATTCTCAGGAGTCTCGATGTTGTAGGGTACTGAGGTGTCTTCCCCAGCCCAGAATGTCCTAAACCTGACAAAGAAAGCATGTGGTCAGTCACTTTCTCCTCTGGTCCCACATCTTCTTTACCATTGCAGCTAAGATTGGGATAATCACAGCATGCTCTGCTTGTGTAGATTGCAATATCCAAAGAAAGGAACCTCCTTGGTAACATAGTGATGCTTCCAGTTTTCAGAATACAGTCTGAATGTGGGTAGACAGACAGACACACCACTAAGCAGCTACTTCAATGATTTGCTGCAGGGTCTTTTATAAATCACTTCTTCCTTTGCCCCTCCCTCTTGCTTCTCCCCACCCTATAGCAGGTATGATTGTCTTTTTGCACTACTTTGTGTTATTAAACAATATCAAATTCCCATTGGATTTGGTCTGAGCAGAAAGTCTCAAGTCCTAAAAGAAGGACTTCCTTGAGGGGACCTGAAAGAGAACCCTTGACTTACTCGGGTCATCATGAGTAGGTCACCCGATAGGTGAACGTGGACATGAGGAGACTTAAACCAAGGTGGTATAGCAGACGGGGCTGGACTTGGTGTCACCGAGTGGTCTGAGCAAAGGATGTCACCCCTTGGGCCCCAGGGGTCATACTTGTCAGATTAGAGTTGGATTGCTGCTCTCTAGGATGCTGCTGGCATAAAATGCCAGGAGTCCTTGAAGGCAGAGAGAGGAACAGTGTGAAGTGAAAAGGTTTGGCTAATAAAACTTTGTGGCCACCTAAGAGATGCTGAAGCAGGTTAACAGCTGTAGAACTCGGAGATAAGGAAGCCTGGCTGGGGCCGTAAACTGTAGAAGAGTAGCAGCTTCTGAACTGGAAGAATGGCAATGTGTATATTCGGACTAGAAAGGACCACAGAATAGACCAACATTGCTAACCGATCTGCTCTGTGGAGCCTGGGAAATCAGGAACCATTAATTAAATAAATAAACCCAGCTTCTCCTCCTGGCAGAGGAACATATACACCACACAGCACCTGTCTGTGATGACCAGGATCCGCCCATGAGTCTTTCCATGTGGGGCTCATGTTGGAGCCCCATCTGTTCTCTGTGACTATGGTGTCTTCACCATTAGCAGGTGCATGGCCACCTCCTGGTGCCTCACTTTCAGCAGGGTTGGAAGATGACTGCTTGGTTCTCTGAGGGCCCCTTGGAGCTCCCCTGAGGGAATTTCATATATTCCACAATGCTCATATTTGAAGTGAGACCATCCCAAATAGTCCATCCAGATATCTTTTTTTTTAAACATTCTGTTTTTATTTATTTATTTATTATTTTTTTGTGAGGAAGATCAGCCCTGAGCTAACAACCATGCCAATCCTTCTCTTTTTACTGAGGAAGACTGGCCCTGAGCTAACATCTGTGCCCATCTTCCTCCACTTTATGTGGGAGGTCGCCACAGCATGGCCCGACAAGCGGCGTGTCGGTGCGCGCCCGGGATCCGAACCCGGGCTGCCAGCAGCAGAGTGCGCGCACTTAACCGCTACGCCATGGGGCCGGCCCCCCATCCAGATATCTTGAAAATCCATCCAACCGTGTTCATGTGTTATGGTAACAGACAAAAACATAATTTTCCAGAAGAAAGAGAAACCACATTTTAATTTAGTTTTCAATATTATTATTTTGCATTATAACATTTTACACAAGAGCAATGTCATAGGTCGTTTTGAATTATCGCGTCTCTTGGTCTTTTTATGTATCCATTTGGTTTTACAGAGCTATCATAAGGATAATGGTAGTTTAGGGTAATGACTAGGAACAAGGGCACAGGAGTCAGGCTGTGCCCAAATCCCAACTCTATTACTTGCTGAGAGTGTCACCTTGGGCAAATTAATCCACCTCAGTTTACTGTCAAGAAAATGGGGATAAGAGTACTCACAGTTGTTGTGATACACGAAAACTGCTTAGAACATAATGCCTGGTAAATGGGAACTACTATCATTATGTCTGAGAGGGGCATTTTTGTTATTAGCTCCATTATTTTTACTAAGGAAAGTATTAACGTCACAGCCACAACAAAGAAACTGCTCCCATGTGAACTTGATAAAGTAGCTTCCCTTTCCTGGGTTAGATGGCGTAAGAGTAGAACGACTTCTTTTAGCTGTCCTGCAAACATTTCTTCCCTTTGTACTGCCTGGGCTCCTTGCTGGTTAAGTGTGTGTCATTGACAGAAGCCAGAGAAGTGAATGTTTGTGATTGTGGATAAATTGTGTCCAAATTTAACTGTGTTGACATAAGCTTACAGAATAAAGATCTCTTTTCAAATATAAATGGCACTTTAACAAAAGTTTTAAACTCTGTTTTTGAAACCAAAGTTCCTTGATTCCAGATTTATTGAAGAGACTGCTCTAAAGAGATCAATGATTCTCAATGGTGACTGCCCAAGTTCAAAGGCAGACCCCACCATTAACCAGCCATAAGACCTTGGACAAATTGTTCAGCCTCTCTGTGCTGCAATTTCCTCATTTGTGAAATGGGAGTAATAAATAGCACATCTACCTTCTGGGTTGTGTGAGGACTAAATGAGATAGTTGAACATTTAACCCTCAAGATAAGCTGGTATTAACAATAATTTCTGTTTTTATTATTAATAGCGCTTCTTCTCTCTTCACAGACAGAGCTTACAATGGATGCTGCTCATAAACAAAAGAGCTTACAATTCAAGAAAACCATGGATGTGAGTCATACTCTATTGCCTTTTTTTGTAATGGTGGTACTTTCTGAAATCCTGTGCTGTGTATGAGCATATTCCTAAAAATAACATTTCAATAATGTTATTATTCATTAGGGCAATGTTTTAGAGAAAACAACCTCTAGTGGTTTAACTTTCCTTCCTTTTTTTTAGAGTTTTTTTTTTTTGAGGAAGATTGGCCCCGAGCTAACATCTGTTGCTAATCTTCCTCCTTTTTTCCTTTTTTTTCCCCAAAGCCCCAGTAGACAGTTGCATGTCATAGCTGTACATCCTTCTAGTTGCTCTGTATGGGATGCCACCTCAGCGTGGCTTGATGAGTGGTACGTAGGTCCGCTCCCAGGATCTGAATCAGCAGACTCCGGGCTGCTGAAGTGGAGTGCGCGAACTTAACTGCTATTTTGCTAGGCCGGCCCCAATGACTTTCCTTCTTTTTAAGGCCTTGGAAAGATTGAAGATGAAACTAGATAGAGGAAACACAATGATGTTATCTTTCTGGTAACCTGGGAAAGTACAGCAAGTCAATTTAAATATTTCAGGCCAAGACACAAAAGCATATACTGTATGATGCCATTTACCTTGTTGGATTTGAGCTTTTTCCCTGTAACTGTTTTGAATCTTGATTTCTTACCTATTTTATTGAGAGACCCCTTCCTGTTTTAAGATATCTGCAAATTGTAAAAGCCCCTTTCCTTTAAGTAATTTATAACAAAAATGCTTAGCAGGGGCCGGCCTGGTGGTGTAGAGGTTAAGTGCACACGCTCTGCTGTGGCGGCCGGGGTTTGGGTCTCTGGAGTGCACCGATGCACTGCTTGTCAAGCCATGCTGTGGCGGCATCCCATATAAAGTGGAGGAAGATGGGCATAGATGTTATCCCAGGGCCAGTCTTCCTCAGCATAAAGAGGAGGATTGGCGACAGATGTTAGCTCAGGGCTAATCTTCCTCGCACACACACACAAAATGCTTAAGACAGAGCTAAGACAAGTTGCTAGGGACCTGACTCTTGCTTTTCATGAATCTGTCAACTCTGGATACAATGAACTCTGTTATTGGAACATCTATGATTCCATCTTTGTACAGAAGTATCATCATGATATTCTATGACTATGACGTGATATCTGGTAACCCAGTCAAAAAAGAAAATATCATCAATGTTAATGGCATATGCAGTCTGTTCTGCATTATTTTTTTCTTTGATGCAGATCACCTCAGAAGCAATTGATAAATAGGGAATGATGTCAGTGTAATGCAGAAATAGTGTTGGTTGGTATATGATTGTTCCCAGACCTTTTATGTTTTGAGCAGTCTGGGGCAAGCTTTCTCACAATTAAAGAGAAAGCCTTATTGAAATATAATTTTCTTAACTATTTCTTCTACCTACATTTAGAGCCATATCAGTGTTACAATTTTTGCTTCAACTGTCAAAAATAATTTGGAAAACTCAAGAAGAGAAAGAAAGACTATTGTATTTACCCATTTTTTGCTTAGCATGTTCTTTTTTACTTCTGATGTTCTAAGGTTTCTTATTTTGGTTTCCTTTTGTTTAGAGAACTTCCTTTAGCCATTCTTCAGGATAGGTCTGCTAGTGACAAATATCTTAGTTTTCCATTATCTGATAATGTCTTGATTTCCCCTTCATTCTTAAAGGATACTTTCACTGGATATAGGATTGTGTGTTGACAATTTTTTTCTTTTGGTACTTGAAATGTGTTGTGCCACTTCCTCATGGCCTCCATAGTTTCTCATAAAAAATCTGCTATAATCCAAATTGATTTTCCTTTATAGGTAAGGTGTCATTTCTGTTTTAAGATATTTTCTTTGTTTTTAGTTTTTGGAAATTCACCTATGTGTCTTGCCATGGATTTCTTTGGGTTTATCTTGTTTGGGATTTGATCAACTTCTTGAATCTGTAGGTTTATATCTCTTGCCAAATTGGAAAGTTTTCAGCCATTATTTCTTCAAGTACTTTTTCAGCCCACCCTCCTCTCCTAGGATTCCAAGGACGTGAATCTTAGATCTTTTGTTATCATGCCAAAGGTCCATGAGGCTCTGTTCATTTTTTTCAGCCTATTTTCTCTCTGTAGTTCAGATTAAGTAATTTCCATTGTTCTATCTTCCAGTTTACCAGTTCTTTCTTCTGTCTCTTCCATTCTTTTCTTAAGCCCATCCATTGAGTTTTTTATTTCAGTTAGTTTATTTTTCAGTTCTAAAATTTCCTTTTGGTTCTTCTTTATACCTTCTATTTCTTTGCTGAGTTTTTCTATTTCTTTGCCAAGACTACCTATTTTTTCATTTGTTTCAAGTGTCTTTGTAATTGCTTGTTGAATATTTTTATGATGGCTGCTTTAAAATCTTTGTCAGATAATTCTAACTTCTCTGTTATCTTGATATTCGCATCTATTGATGGTCTTTTTTCATTCAGTTTGAGCTCTTCCTGGTTCTTCGTATGATGAGTGATATTCAATTGATTTTAGACATTTTAGGTATTATGTTACAAGACTCTGGATCTTATTTAAAGCTTCTGTTTTAGCTGGCTTTCTTTGTTTTTTTGTTTTTGTGAGGAAGATCAGCCCTGAACTAACATCCGTGCTAATCCTCCTCTTTTTCCCGAGGAAGACCGGCTCTGAGCTAACAGCTATTGCCAATCCTCCTCCTTTTTTTCCCCCAAAGCCCCAGTAGATAGTTGTATGTCATAGTTGCACATCATTCTAGTTGCTGTATGTGAGATGCGGCCTCAGCATGGCCGGAGAAGTGGTGCCTCGGTGCGCGCCCAGGATCTGAACCTGGGCCGCCTAGCTGGCTTCCTTTGATGCCACTACAGCAGAGGGAGGTGAGGCACCATCTCATTACTGCTATGTGGGGGTAAAAGTCCAGGCTCCCCATTTGGCCTGCACTGAAACTACGGGGTGGATATGGCCTTATTACTAGTGGGAGGTGGTTAAAGTTCTGACTCTCCACTAGAACTCCTCTGACACCACCCCAGCAGGGAGGGTGTGCACCTTATTACCGCCAGGTGTGGGTAGTAGAATTCCAGGTTTCCCACATGGTTTCCACTGGCACTATCTGTGGGGCTTTTTTACCTCCTGGTGGGAATGAAAGTCCCAATTCCATATTTGTCTTTCTCTGACACACCTTGGCGAGGAGTTGGGTGCCTCAATACAGCCTGGTGAGGGTGAAAGTCTAGATTCCCCACTTGGCCTTTGCTGGATGCATGGGGGTGGGGCCACAGTATGTTATGTGGTGTTTGGCTGCAGTAGAATGGTTATTTTCTAAAGGTTTCCATCCTGCTAGGCTGCCTCTTTTCCGGTCTTTTGCTTAGAGAGAGCGGGTTTTTGCGGGACTTTTTTTCCTTCTGGCTGTGCCCATTGTTGTCTCCTGGCCGCCTGCTTCTTTGGCAGCCAGTCTGTAATATATGAGGCAAAAGGAAAACCCAGGGAACTCACTTCTAGATTGCTCTTCTGAGACCAAGGTCACTAGCCCGTCTGCCTCCTCTCCACTTTTCACAGTCTTCTTATGTTTGTTTTATGTATAATGTCAGGGGTTTTAGTTGTACTTGTGTGGAGGAGAGGGAAAAGTACATCTACTCTATTTTCCCAGAAACCCATCTAACCTTTTAAAAAAACATTTTGTGATACGCTTTTAGTGCCATAAATGTGATCATACCCCATTAATTTTATGTTAAGAATCTAAGACTCTATCTTCAGAAAACACAAAAATAAGAAAAACAAAGGCATAACCTTGTTCATTACTTATAATAAAGAAAAGTATAAATGATTCAGAGACCAAAAGATGGAGAAAGATTCAATTATGTAGCCTTTTAAAATATGATTATGAAGAAAAGTGCTTAATATGTCATTAAAAATAAAGCAGGATAGAGAAAGATTAATAACTTTGACAACGTTAAAATTTAAAACTTCTTTAGAGCAAGAGAAAAAATATCTTATACATGGTTTCAAGACAGATGACAAATGGGGAAAAATATTTGTAACCTATATAACTTTTATAGCCAGTTAGTGTTCCTAATATAGACCAAGCTCTTATAAACCAATTAAAATAAAGAATGGGGGCCTGGCCCGTGGCTTAGCGGTTGGGTGCGTGCGCTCCTCTACTGGCGGCCCGGGTTCAGATCCCGGGTGCGCACCAACGCACCGCTTCTCTGGCCATGCTGGGGCGGCGTCCCGCATGCAGCAACTGGAGGGATGTGCAACTATGACGTGCGGCTATCTGCTGGAGCTTTGGAGAGAAAAAGGGAAAAAAAGGAGGAGGATTGGCAATGGATGTTGGCTCAGGGCCAGTCTTCCTTGGCAAAAAGAGGAGGATTGGCATGGATGTTAGCTCAGGGCTGATCTTCCTCACCAAAAAAAAAAAAAAAAAAAAAAGAACGGTCCAATAGAAGAGCAGGTAAAAAACACAAAGTAGAAAGAATATACCACTTTAGTAGTAATGAAATAAATGTAAATAAAATGACAATATGCTAACATTCTCACCTCTAGTATTAGAAAAGGTTAAAATACTCAGTGTTTAAGTTCAGTGTTGGTCAGAGTTCAAGGACACGTACTCTCGTATACTATTGATGGGAGTATAAATTGGTGCAGCCAATTTGGAAGGAAGTTGGATGTGTATATACAATTATATTTCTAGGAATTTGACCTATATAGATAAATTCACACTACCCAAAATAAAATCAGAGTATTTTTATGTTACAAAAAATGGAAACAAGATCAATATCCACCAATACAGACTTGATTAAGAAAATTATGGCATATATATACATATATATGCGTGTGTATTTACAACCATTAAAAGTGTTCAGCTACAGGGATCATGCATGATACAGTGAAAGGTATAACATATTGTTGCATAAAAAAAGAATTGTATGAATATCTTATGTGCTTGTAATTATGAAAAATTATGAACTTTAATTTCTGTGTGTGTAGCCTAGAGAGAGAATTGAAAGATTGTTTACTGAAAGTTAATCCCACTCAACTGCAGGGGATGCTGGGAAATGTAGGGAAGCACATGAAATATTTGGTGAGCACAAACTATCACTACAGAGGAGTCTTCATTCTTAGTCAAGCATTTTTGGAGGGGTCACCATTTTTATTTATTAGCTAACTGATTCACAGCTTTGCTCTGTTTGAACAAGTCCTTGCTTCAATAGTTGAAACAAAAAATTATTTGATTCACTAACTGTAGTTTGTGAACTGTTTCCATACTACCAGTAGTAAGATAGCACAGGATAGACCATGACCTACTTTTAAACTAGCTAAAACAGAACTCTTTAAATGAAAACGGAACATGACTATCCTTAAGTGACAGAAATGATGGGATTGATGGCCTCCGTGCTGTCCACATGCTGTGGTGAGACACATTAGAATATTGAAGCATAATTATAATTACCATGACCAAATGATTGCATCTAAGTTCTGAGGGTTACGTTACATAAATGTTGGATTACATATCTTATAGTTACATAAGTATTTTGATTTTGCCTATTTCAAATTCCATCTTTTGTTTCAGTCAATTTTTAAAGCTTATGTACTTTGTGTTTGCCAAATAGGAGTGATCACTTCCTTGATCAGGTTGCTGCTACATACATAATTTGGAAAAGGGCCTGAGACCTTCCAAAGATAGATAAGAAAGAGCATCTGCCCTCAGAGCCCATGGTCTAGTGGTGGTCACAGACCAAATCAGGGTGCCGTGTTGTTTGCTGGGCTTGGAAGGGCTGGGGTGGCTGCTTCAGGGTTACCTTCTGCTCTCCTGTTTCGATCCTCTTTTGGCTCATAACAACAAAGGCAAAGAAGAACTACGAGCAGAAATGCCGAGACAAAGATGACGCAGAGCTGGCTGTGCACCGGAATGCCAACGTGGTAAACCCGAAACAACAAGAAAAGGTACCTGGGAGGGGTGACAGCCTGAAAAATCTGAGATTTACATATATCAAGCTAAAGCTAATTAATAATCTTAATAAAAAATGGATTTGCACCCTAAGCCCTGGCGAAAATCTTCCTTCAGGCTATTAGGGTTCTCTGAACCAGAAAAACCCTTGTCACATTTTTGGGGTTGGGAAAGAGCTAAAGAAGTGTGCCCATGGGGGTGGGAGTGGGGTGAGAGGAAGTGGGGGAGGGGGTTCTGATTGTTTTCATCTTTCTTCAAAACTCAACTCACGTATTCTTTGTAGCTAGGCTGCCTCTTTCTTGGGTGTATTATAAATTTAATTTTATAAAATCTGGATATAAGATTGACAGCAACCAGAAGGGAAAGGTACATCTTTAGGAAGACACAGGGCAAGATGCTTGATGGGTATTTTCCAATGGCAATAAGATTAGAGGGCAAGTTGAATGATTTGCTCATGAGAGAAACATAGGTAAGGCGTGGCCTAGAACTTGTCTCTTCACAGTCATTGCTTTTAGATCTGTTTTACCTATGGAAGCCTGGCCCAGCATTCCTGATCTCTTGTTGTTTTTTGTCCTCACAGCTTTTTGTGAAACTGGCAACTTCAAAGACTGCAGTAGAAGACTCAGGTGAGGGGGCTGCTGCCATGGATGAGGGAGGATTATGGTAGGGTTTACATTATCCTAAATCTATCTGAGAAAGGTAGTTTTATACACCTTACAGTAAAGAATATATAGATATACAGTAGGATTAACAAGATACCAGAAGGGAAGAAGGGAGGAACCAATGGAAGGAAAGAAAGGAAGGGTGAAGGAGGGAGGGAGAGAGGGTGTATCAGAACCTGGGAAAGTGAGAAGAAGCAAAGGAGGCAGCCGTTTCTGGCCACTGCCTGCTTAGGTCTTGCTGCCTTACATGTAATTGAATGGTGGTGGTGAGGGTTATGTGGTAGCTGCTCTGTAATCAGGTGCTGAGTTCGTGGGAACATCTATCTATAAAGCCCATTTCAGCTCTGTTAACTCTTATCTGCTGTGAAAGAAATTGCCAAGTTTCGAGGCCTTGTCATCACTGAAATCTAAGATCGAAACTAAGTGTTTGCAAAGGCTTCTAATTCCCAGAGTATCCTGCATAAGATAAGCCGTTCATGACCATGGTCACTTAAGAAGTCTCTAAACCCCAAACTTAAGTAACTTGGTGCCCCTTAAGGGCTCACGGTAGTTCTATGCATCCTTCACTGTATAATTTTCCTGAAAATGAAAAGGGGTGGAAGTAATTGAAACTGAATTAGACAAAGAAAATGCAGGCTAAGGTTCCCTGTCAGCTTTCACTTTTCCTTCCTTGAAGCATTTCTTGCTAATTGCTTGGTTCAATGTGCAAAAAGGAAGTGATACCCACCTTTGCTTATTACACAAAGATATTATGAGGGTGAGAGATGTAAGTATGGCCTTTCAATGTTCAGAGCTCCTTGGGGCCTTGTGAGCTCAACGCAGCTCGGACTGAGTTTCATTTACTATCTGGAATATGAGCCTGAGGGGTGGGTCTGCGAGCCGCCCTCCTGTCCGGTTTCTGAACCCAGGCCCCTCCCCTCCATTGCAGACAAGGCGTACATGCAGCATGTCAATACGCTGGATAAGGTCCGAGAAGAGTGGCAGAGCGAGCACATCAAGGCCTGTGAGGTACCCAGAACCGGAACCGGAACCGGAACCAGAAGCTGCTCCGGAGGGGGCGAGCCTTCCTCTTAGGACTTGAAGCTTCTGCTTTTGTAGAAATGCTCCACCCTCTTATTATAGCGCTCCAATTCTAATAGAGTTGCTTGAGGTTAAATTAGAAATCAGGAACTTAAGTGGAGGACGGAAGGAACCAGAATGTTTTTCTCCAAACCTCATCTTTTTGCTTCCTTCCCATCCTGACCGTGCTGTGCAACTCTGTTCAAGGCCTTTCTCTAATGTTTGGTTAGCACAGACATAAAACAGCTGAATTAATGGTTAAGTAATTACCTTTTGAGAGCCTCACCTGTACTTGCCATGTAATAAGGAAAACGCAGATGGTGCGTGAGCAGACTTGAGAATCTTTTACTCTCCTCACACCTTTGATTCCACCTTAGCCACTCCTTCGTTTTCTGCACATGACCTCACTTACAACTTCCTAGAGAAAATGAAGACATAACCTGGAAACTTCCTCAAGTTTCTGTCGCCCTGTTTACACATTTTATTACCAGTGGTTCTCAAAGTGAAGTGTCATCAGCATCTCCTGGGCACTTGTTAGAGATGCAAATTCTCAGACCAACCCCAGACCCACTGAGTCAGAAACTCTGGAACTGGGCCCAGTAACCTCTTCGTTAATAAGCCCTCCAGGTGATTCTGATGCTAATTCAAGCATGAGAACCACTGATCCACACACCCTCCTCCCCTCCTTTTCTCCTGTTATTGTGGAAAAGGGGCCGCTCCCGCCCTATTAAGATCTCCCACCACCTGGGCTCGGGATCCCATCCAGCTGGTTTTCCCCACCACCTTGTGCACAGCTCCTTTATCGTGAACTCCTTTTATCATTTACACAAACTCAGCTTGTTCCTGGCTTTAAAACCCACCAGCTGTTGCTTCCCGCCTGCTACCTTCTCTCTTCACTGCCAGGCTTCTTGCAGGAGTTGTCTGCACATCCTCATTGCCCCTGCCTTTCCCAGCCTGCTGTGTCTGGGCATTGCTGCTCTGCAACTGCTCCTTGGAGGAACCAGTCATCCCCTTAGTGTGAGGTCCAGCAGGCCTTCCCAGTTTCTCATCTTATTTGACCTGTCTTTACCATCTAATACTGTGGGTCACTCTCTCCCTCCTAAAACACTCTTTTCTGCTTTACTTCCTTGACTCCACACTTTTTTGGAAAAGCCTGGAATAAGGGCATTTTTAGAAGGTTTCAAAACATGAAAAGCAACATCATATGCATTTTTATACATATTATAAAAACCTGCGTGGGAATGATAAAATTTAGGGTGATGGTTATCTCCAGGGAAGGAGGAAGGTGATAGAGATTGGGGAAAGCACACAAGGGCTTTAACAGAATCTGAAACAAATATGGCTAAAATTTTTGACAAAACTAGGTGTTTGGTACATGGATATTCGTTATATCGCTCTCTATGATTCTTCTTTGTGAAATATTCTATAATAAAAATAATGTAGTATTTGTATATATACTATATATACAAATATATATAGTATATATACAAATATGTATATATTTGTACAAATATGTATACTAAATATTTGTATATATAGTATATATACAAATACTAAAATATACAAATACTAAAATATTTACAGGTGAAATAGTGTATTTATTTCAAAATACTCCAGGGAGGACGTGAGTTGGTAGGGTTATAGGTAAAACAAAATCGGTTCTTAAATATGTTTAAGCTGGTGATGGGTACATGGGGATTCATTGTATTATTCACTCTACTCTTGTATATGTTTGAAGTTTTACATTATAAAAAATTTTAAAATCTAGTAGTGTTGTATTCAATATTTAAAAAAGTATGTTAGTATGTAACATTCACTGTTGAATAGCATCCACTTTATAGAATAGCTTGATTTTCCAAAAGTTTATATTTTTTATATCCAAAAAACAATTGTTCAGGCAGTGACTTTTTAAAAAACTTTTTTATTAAGGAAAATTTCAAACATACACAAAGAGAAGACAAGTGCAAGGATCCCCGTGTACTCATCATCCAGCTTCAACAATGATGAGCATCTTGCCAATTGAATTTATTCATTCCGGGAGGGGAGGGTGGGGAAGAGGCAGAGTTTTGAATCTGAGGCTCTGGCGGGCTGCCCAGGTGGAGATGCCCCTTAGGCAGTTGGAAATGTGAGCTGGAATTCAGGTTAGAACCTTGGTGTCTGGATTCATCATTACCTCTTACCTTCAGAACTGTGTCTGATCCTGTTTGTGTTAACATGATGTTAGAATCTATTTGCATTCTTTGCCTGTGGTAAGAGTTTATGAGCTTCCTCGGTGGTGGAGGAGTACCCTAAACGGGACAACAAGCTTACAGATAATCAAGGGTTGACACTGTTTCTTAAGTCCTAGCCAGTCTAGACAAATAGCCCCTTTCTCTGCATATGTCTGTACATTTTGTTATGTTTCTGTAGGTGTTGGAGGCTCAAGAATGTGAACGAATAAATTTCTTTCGGAATGCTTTGTGGTTACATGTGAATCAGCTGTCACAACAATGTGTCACAAGCGACAGCGTAAGTCAGAGGCATCCACGGAGGATTGTGGCTCTGCATTTTGGATTCATTAGAGTGGAAGGAACAGTAGACATTTATTAGATCATCCCCCCCATTTGAGGCCCAGAGAGGTACAGTGACTTGCCCAAGGCCACACAATGAGTTAACAGAAGGACCCAGATAAATACTTAACCTGCCTGACTCCTGTGCCACTTTACTACCATGACTTTCTCTTTAAGAAATTCAGAGTTAGGACAGGAGAGTAGAGAAAGGAGACCCAAATGCAGTTAATATATGGAGGACAGAGATGCCATAGCATGAATGTGAGTCCCGGAGGGTCACTCCAGGACAGCACCTAGTGCTAGCAGACTAACCCATGCCCAGGCTAATGGTCACTCCAGGGCTCAGGATTTACTTCAGTGGTGTTCCCAGGGCCCGTATCCAGGTTTAACTTGTGCCCAGCCATCTTCCCAGGGTTCCCAGATCTCAGAGGGACCAGAACCAAGTTAAATAGCTACCCTCACTTAGATGGGACATATCCTTTAGAAGAACAGTTAAACACCCAGAAAACCTGTAGCATTGACTGGAAGAACTTTTCTCCAAGTTAAGTAATTATTTTTGCGTTTGTGCTTGGCATTGGCCTTTGTCATGGGACTTGGTATCTATTTTCTTTGTCCCATCAGTATTTTTTAAAAAATCTTTCCCCCAAAGTTTTTTTGCTGCCACAAAGATACATTTCTTGTTATTTTTAAAAGAATGTTAATAGCAGATATGCATCAGAGAAATCCCTTTTAATGAGTCTGGGACTTGGGAATGTCTTTCTTTTCAAAACAAAATTTGGAAAAGAGTCAGCTATTCATCAAACCTGTTTTAATAAGCCATGTCACAATTATTATGGACATACCTCTACGTTGATTCATCTTCTTTTTGTTAGATGTATGAAGAAGTCCGTAAGAGTTTAGAAATGTGCAGCATTGAGAAGGACATTGAGTACTTTGTGAATCAACGCAAAACTGGACAGACTCCACCAGGTGAATGGAGCAGTGGGGTAGGGGGGCGGTTATTTAAGCAATTATATTAGTCTTTGTTCACATGTCATGAGAATGGAAGACTCCTGCCTCTTAATGTTTTGTTTCTTGATGATTCCTCTAGCACCCATCGTGTATGAGAATTTCTACTGCCCCCAGAAGAATACAGCCCCACCAGGAAAGGCTACGGGGCCTAACTTGGGAAGGTAATAACCAGTTTCCTTTCACATGAAGAAAAATACTTTTAATAAATGTTTTTATCATTAGTGTTCTGAGACATGTTAGAACTGGAACATATCTACCACTGTATTTGCTTAGTGAGGTTGCTAGATTTTTGGAAGTAGCATTTTTAGAACAAATGTTAAATGGATTTTACTAGTCATAATTCAAGGAGGACTATATCACGCTTGAGTGTGATTATTACTGCTCTTGCGTGAATCCTGTACCTTTCGTATAGCCTATAGAGAGCAGGAGCCAGCAGGTGTGCTCATGCCCCACCCCACCTCTCTACTCCCCCATGAATCAAACCTGACCTGCCTGTTTTGGTAGGACCCAAGAGTAAAGAACGGCTTTTACATTTCTAAATGGCAAAAAAAAAAAAAAAAAAAAAAAAAAAAAAAAAAAAAAAAAAAAAATTAAAAGGATACTCTTTCATGACGTGAAAATTATATGAAATTCAGATTTCGGTGTTCATCTATAAAGTTTTATTGGAACATGATCACACTCATTCGTTTACATTCTGCCTATGGCTGCTTTCACACTAGAGTCGAGTAGAGTTGTGACAGAGTTGCCTTGTGTGGCCAGCAAAGCCTAAATCATTTGCTATCTGGCCCTTTACGGGAAAAATTTGCTGCCCCTGATATAAAGGATCCTAGGAGAAAAGAAACTTCTGTTTCACATACAGCTTGAAGTCCAAGCTGTTGAAGTTTCATTCCAGTTTTTAAAAAGATAAGGGAGTGTTTGAGGGAGAATTGCATAAGGATCATCGATATTTAAGAATGCCAGGCGCGGTTCAAAACAGTTAACACAAATGAGCTCATTTAATCCTCTCAGTGAGGAGGGAGCTGTTTGTATTTTCCATGTTACACGTGAAGATGCTGATGTACGAGGAGACCAGGAAATCTTGCCCACGCAGCTGGATTTTCATCTGCCAGTCCTGGTTGTGGGGGCAGCGCTCTGCGCTCCTGACCACTGTGCACGCTGCCTCTCAGCATAGTGTGATGCCTGCCACTTAGATCCCAGTAGCTCGGTGCTGCAGACCTTTTGCTTCATCTGAATTTTTCCTGACCCTCCAGAGCACAAACCAGATCTCAGTAGAGTGCAATGTGTTTGTAGCGTGAAGTAGAAAATTAGAAAAATAACAAGAACTGATCTGAAAGACGTTGGTTTTCATTTCTTACAGGAGAGGACCTCTCCCAGTTCCTAGTATACCAGGTATGCCACCAAGGAATACCTTTTGAAGTGCTTATGTCAGGTTTTCTTGAAGGTTGAGTAGCTAGAATTTTGACATAAAGGGAAAGAAGTGAATAAATAGAATCAAATTTCCAAGAGAACAAGCTGCTATTAAAATCTTACTATAATACTTTTTGTCACAGAGTAGAATTTGGAAATCAGTGGTCTATTTTATAGCTCATCCAAGAGAATTCAGTTACTGAAGTACCAGAATAAACTTATTATAAGGCAGTCTTACCTAAGAGATTATTTTAACTTGGACCATGAGAACAGCAAAACTTAGATGTAGTTTTCCTTTGGATTACACAGAAATATAATTTATAGAAGGCATAGATATCTAGAAACATGTAAACCAATATTATATGTTTTATACACTGCCCATAATTGGATCTTTCACTAATCACACTGGTCTCTTTTTTTCTCTGAACTCCTGTGATACCTCTGGGAGAACCGCACATTTTAGCATTTTTCGTTAGTTGTATTCCCTGGATAATTGTAAGAAGCTGGAGGGCAGACACTTTGTTTTTTCCCCGTATCACTCACAACGCCTAACATAGTGCTGGGTGCGTAGTAGGTGATCAACAAATATCTACTATTTGAATAAAAGAGAGATATACTGATCAATGTTCAAGGGAATGAGGGAAGAGACAACCGATGCTGCATTTAGTAGCGTAGCAAAAATGTAGTGGCTGAAAAAAAAATTAGTGGCTGAAGTTGTATCTTTGAACAATATAGGGATTTAAGTTATTTTATTTCTTGTTGCCTTATAATTACCACTTGATAGTGTGGAACTTATTTTTGTCCATTTTTGAAGATAACTTTACTGTGGGTGCTGCTGTCTGGGCATGGATGAAAAAGGGCCAAGAAATGATAATAATGATTTCCAGAATGTTCTCTGGTTTGTAGTCATGACTACCATTTGTAGGTTTTGTTGCCAGGTATATTTTCTTCCTACAAAAGGGCAATCACTAGAATCGTTGAGTGGAATGTCTTGATTTGAAAAGGGCTAAGAGCTTATCATGAAAAAATATTACCTTAATGTTGCTCTGTGTTCTGCCCTTTGCAGATGACCCTGATTATTCTTTGATTGATAACTACAGTTTGATCTATCAGTAACATCAATGGTAAGAACCTTTCATTTTCACATAACCAAGTTGCATTTAGACTGGTGATTGTAGTTTTGAAGTCTTTGAAGCTTCTTTGTAACACCACTGCAAGCAAGCAAGGCCTTGTATCAGGGTGGCACACTAGTGGGTGTGGTGTTCCTGTAGGATGGCCTTTGTGGATCCCACAACTGAAAGGGGCCTGGAGACCACTCCATACCTATTTGAATGAGGGTATTTTCCCTTCATTAATTATTCTGTAACTCTATCTGCTCTTGTTAAGCTCTTTCGTGGCTATTACACACGTACACTTAAAGCAATACTCACCAACAAAACACACATGATCCTCACTGTTTAAGTAATTTAGCCTCTAGTGTACTCCCCCTCTCTCAAAGGGGGAAAAGTCAAGTGAAAAGAAGTCAATAAAAACAAGGCAAATGATGTCACACTCACCAAACACCCATGGGCATCGTAGGGGTCGTCCCGCACCAGATTGTTACTGCTCTGAACTAGCAAACCACAAGGATTCCTAGGGCAGAACTACTAAGCCAATGGTGGCTATAAGAACGACTTTTCCTCTTTGGCATTCAGGTGCTTGCAACGTACCCCAACTCAGCATTAGTCTTCACAAATGTGAAGGAATGCCTCCGCAGCCAAAATAGCAATTCTAAATGAAACTCCTCATAAAGTATAATTCTTTTAACCCAAATGGGCATATCTTGGGATATGACGATATACGCATACATGAGCAAAGAAAAAGTATGAAAGGATATATTTCTTAATAGTTTATCTTTTTGTTTATCCATGTGTTCTAATTTGTCTACAATTAAAATTTATTACTTTAATTAAAAAGAGTCTTGAAGAGTTGATCCTCTTGCATATTCTGATCTCAGTATGTTCCTGGGAGTGACAGGAGGGGTGGGTGGGATGCAAGGAAGTCTTAATGGAAGTAGAACAGACTCTCTCTTGCCCTTCCTTGTTTGGTGTTGGTGATGTTTACTGTCACTTATGGAACAAAACAGATTTTAACAGGGCTCCATGGTGGTCTTCCTTCAGTGTTCTATACCACTGAAAAGTACTTGAAAGTGAGCACATCAAAATTGCTTGTCTTCAGTCCTCTAAAAACACCTACTTTGTGACTTATAGCCAATTAGCTAGACAGGACAGAAGCCATGTTGTCTTGATTAGATAGAAATAATCAGCTAGTATTTATTTATATTTAAACATAAACCCTTAAATTGCTTAAGAATATGTTTAATATTTAAGCAACTTTGCTGTAAAAGATAACGGAAATTGAAGACATAAAATACCCCATCCTCTAACTATGTATAACTTTCTGACCTACAAACAAAATATAGACTTTACAACCAGTCATCATTTCTTCTTCATTTCATAAGCCTCCCTCTTTCTCATGGAAAGAGGCAAGGTCCATGTTAGAGGTAGAGCAGGAACATGGGAAATCAGTGACTTGGGATTCAAAGGTGAAGCTTTCTCTCTGGAACACCATGGAGGTGATGGCTATGGGCAGGGCTCCAAGAGTTTGTTTTTTTTAATTTTTCACCTCTTTCTTTCCTGCCCTTACCTGTTTGTGTAAAGCACATATTGTAGTTGCTTGATAATAGCATTTGACAAAACGACCCTAGTTCCTCAGAGCCCAAGAATCTGCTGTTTGAATGTAAGATGCTAATGCTGACACATTTACTTGAGTTCTCTCATTTCACTAGGATTCATTAGTGTAGATGCCAGCTCAGGGAATAGGGGCTCAACATAAATGTGTATAATTGACTGAATTTAAGAGAATTTTAAAGGGAGTCTACTTGAGTTAATAACTTAGTTAAGCAACTTATCACAACATTTATAATGAACCTTTGGAATGGAAATTTAAATAGGAAAGTTTAGGAATTTCCTATTTGTTCTGAGTTGTTGATTTTAGCTAATATTCATATTTTTAATTCTAACATGTTTAGGTAAAGACAGACTATAACTTTGAATTTAAAAATATGTGTATCAGGGGCCGGTCCGGTGGTGTAGTGTTTAAGTTTACATGCTCTGCTTCGGCGGCCCGGGGTTCGTAGGTTTGGATCCCGGGCACGGAACCACACACCACTTATCAAGCCATGCTGTGGCAGGTGTCCCACATATAAAGTAGAGGAAGATAGGCACAGTCCAGGCCCAATCTTCTTTAGCAAAAAGAGGAGGATTGGCATTGGATGTTAGCTCAGGGGCTGATCTTCCTCACACACACACAAAAATATGTGTATCAAAAAATGTAAATACATGTATTATTTACCATAAAACAATGCTATTATCGTCACATTCCATTTTTAATGCTTGAAATACCCACTCCTCGCCATTTGTTTTCCTTGGCCCAAGCACACTTATTCTTTCTCGTTGAATACGCTCTCAAGGCAGGAATGGGTTCGACATGAATGGTTCATTCAAATGAAATTTGTTATTTTCTTTCAGAAAACTGATGCTTCTATGGCATGGAAGGAGGCACTTGGAGCAGCAAAATCTCTAGGAATTATGTCAATCATGAAGACTTTGAAGTTAACCCTCGCTGTATTTTTTGATATTTTAAATTTATAGTAGACATTTAGTTCAACTTAAGCTAGTAGAGTTCTGCAGTTTTTTAAATAAGTTTACAGATTGCCCCAGACTGAAGAATTATCCTTTCCCAATCAGTTACTAAAGTTGTGAATGAATTGTGTTTTCTGCTTGATCCAGGAAAGTCTCTGGATTCAGAGCCTTAACTTTTGAGGGGCAGAGGTGGCTGCAGAGGAGTCTGAGCCATCAACCTACAGAAGCTCGTTTGGCTTTGAGGGCAGCGTGACTATGGAATTTGCACAGCAACACACATTCTCAGTGGTGCAAGATTTAAAATTACCTTCCTTTTTGACTGGAAGACTCGGAGGCCATCTGATTTCACTTTCTCATTTTACAGATGAGGAAATGAGGCCCAGAAGTGTGAAATCAATTTCCTTACAGTTCTCTCAGCTGATTAGGGACAGAACCAGAGCTAGAGTACCAGCTCATCCCACGGCACTTTCTTCTAACCCTTCCTGAGGCTCTGATGCTCATGTTGAAATTTAAGATGCCAAATGTTTTTGCCAGCATCTTTTCAGTTGGAAAAATTACCAGGGTTGAAATGTCAGATTTATTTTTATATGGCTCACTGTGTGTCCTGAACTACAGAGCACCATATTTACTCCAATCTAAGAAACCATTAATTGTAAAACATGCCATTGTTTTATGTATCACTAAGAAAGTCGGGTGGGGGAGTTGATAATTAACTTGTGAAAGTTAATGGCCAAGCCTATTTGAATTTGAGACTCTAAAGTGTAGGGGAGAAAGTACATCCTAGAATCAATGAAATATGGTATTTTCTCTATTCTTGAAGAGAATTTTAGAGTTAAAAAGCCAGTCCTCATCCTGAGTCTTCACAGAGAATCTTTCCCTTGCTAGATCCTGGAATCTTAAAGAGTCAATCTTACCCTTTCTCAAATATTTGGGCCTTCCTTTTGTCACTCACAAACAGCAGGGAGACCGTGTACCTTTTACACAACATTCACACAGGATGAGAAAATGGTACGTTTTAGTTAATGACAAGTTAAGTTAGCAACGGCACTTATTAGGTATATTGTAAAGTTCTGTTACCACAAAGAGCAAATGTTTTCCTGTCCTGCTCTGTGCAATAGCTTTCCCAGAATTATGGACACATTGATTGAACGAACAGTGATTCTTTCCCTCCTTTTAATGTGAGGTGTTACTGAAAGTGGCAGCTTCTTGTGACAGGAAACTTGCGTCAGTTGGATATCCTTTTGAGAAACTGGAGTTTGCCCAAGGCCATTGACTTCCCCAAATTGAACAGGCTCAGAAAGTTTTCCTTTGAACTCAGAACATTCTGTTTTTAAGTATTTTATTTATTGTTGGCACTTCCTCAGGGATTTCACTTTTCTCTCTCTTGGTCGGTGTGATTGATGTAAAAGTGTTTTACGAATTGCAAATATTTTTATTTTATTGCTCTTTCAGTTTGATATGAAGTAAAATAAAGGTTCTTGGTGATTTGGGATTTGTTTTGCATTTTTGTGTTAACCGGATCTCTCTTCCAAGCTCTCTTTGACCCCTTGTCACATTTTCTGACGTTAGCCCACAGGAGGACAAGCTGCTGGTCAGAGAGGCCAAGCGGAGCCTGGTGCCACACCACTTCCTCCTCATCCTTCAGGTGTCAGTTGCAGGGTCACTTCCTCAGGGGGGCACCATCCCTGTCTCCACACTAGGTTGGATCCCACTGCTGCACCCTCCCTCCTCCCACATTTTCCTTGTTATTACGTGACTCACTCTTGAAATTAATTGTTCAAAGTCTGGCTTCCCTCCTAGACCATAACTTCCATAAGAGTAGGAAGGCTCTCTATCCTTTCTTCTGCTGTGTCCCCATCACCTGACACATAGTAGTAAACATGAAAGAATTAGGGCTGGCCCCGTGGCTTAGCGGTTAAGTGCCTGCGATCCGCTGCTGGCGGCCCGGGTTTGGATCCCGGGCGCACACCGACCCACCGGTTCTCCGGCCATGCTGAGGCCGCGTCCCACATGCAGCAACTAGAAGGATGTGCAACTGTGACGTACAACTATCTACCGGGGCTTTGGGAGAAAAAAAAAAAAAGAGGAGGATTGGCAATAGATGTTAGGTCAGAGCCGGTCTTCCTCAGCAAAAAGAGGAGGATTAGCATGGATGTTAGCTCAGGGCTGATCTTCCTCACAAAAAAAAAAAAAAAGAAAAGAAAGAATTAGTGGCCTAGAAGAGAACGTACCTAGAGAAACAACCAATTGAAAGAGAAATAATGGGTGTAAAGTGAGTGAAGTCAGTCAAATAAGTATACATGTTAAATTTAGTAAATATGAGCTACTCTGCAGACTGTTGGTATCTTAATTTGGGTTCGGCCAGAAGCAGACCCTGAGGTAAGGATTTGAGTGCAGGTAGTTTTTCTGGGGGGTGATCCCAGAAAGTACCGGTATGGAAGTGGGAAAGTGAGACAGAGAAAGGAAGAAAAGCAAAAAAGCGGGTATACTCAAGCAGGTTACCACTGTGAGCAACTGGAGTTTAAGCCTGTGGGGACTTCTGGGAAATAGGGGGGGACACAGCCCTCAGAGAGAGCTCACCTGAGGGGAGGGAGTGAGGATGTTTATCACCGACTCCCATCACGCATGGGTTGAGTGCTGGTCCTAGGAGGTGTTAATTCCCTGGCATTTCTGGCCCGCTGTGAACATTGGGAGAGGGGGTTCCAGCAGCCTGAGAGAGTCCTCAGCAGCCTGAGAGAGTCCTCGGGAGGGATGCACTTCCTGGCAGTTGGAAGTTAGGCTGGTGTTTGAGGAAATGGTACATACTGCGGGGATGTGGGTGGGGCCCTGACAGAACTGACCTCTGCACAGCTCAGATCCACCTGTGCGCCACATGAATTTTACTCCGTCCTGTCATTAGTTCTTCAAGTCCCAATTTCCAAAACACACACACACGCACACGCACACACACACACACACATGCACATACACATGCACACACACAGGGAAGTTTAGTAGGGCAAGCTATAGTTTCTGTTGCCACAGATGGTCCTGAGTCCATAATTGATATTTATCATCTCCCTTCTCTACCACCCTGTTATGGGCTGCATTGTGTCCACCCAAATTCATATGTTGAAGTCCCAACCCTTAGTACCTCAGAATGTGACTGTGTTTGGAGACAGGGCCTTTAAAGAGGTGATTAAGTTGAAGTGAGGCTGTTGGGGTGGAGCCCTGATCCAGTCTGACTGGTGTCCTTATAAGAAGAGGAAGAGACACCGGGAGTGAGCGTGCATGAAGGGGTGACCATGTGAAGAGGCAACAAGAGGACAGCCATCTGCAAACCAAGGAGAGAGGCCTCAGAGGAAACCAACCCTGCCAGCATCTTGATCTTGGACTTCCAGGCCTCCAGAACTGCAAGAAAATTAATTTCTATTTGTTTAAGCCACCCAATCTGTGGTATTTTGCTATGGCAGCCCTAGCAAACTAATACATACACATTCTAGCTTCGCTTCACACTTGGCTAGTTGTTCTGCTTGTGTAGGTTACCTCACAGTGACCACCCATTCCTGTCAGGATAGTTACTCTTTGCTTGCTGTTCTACTGGCATGAGGACCCTCAAATGACCAGGCATCAGCCATAGCTTTAGTGGAACCCTTTCTATGTCCCCTGGTTGATGTGTCCCCTGCCAACCACCTTGAGACAGGCGCTCTAGTGCAACAGAGCCTAAAGTTGAAGGAATGGGAACGCAAATTCCCCAAATGGGTTAGTGAAAGCTATGTAGACAGAGGCCACTGTTACCTCTTGGCTCCCAGACCTGTGTTTTCTATCTACTGGAGTCAGAAGATAGAGTACCATACTGTGGCCATGTAAGCACCATATAATACCTCATCTTTAAGACCAGCACCCCAACCCTGCAAGGTGTTCTCAAGCTGCTGCACCTTCAAGAGCCCATTCCAACAGTCTATCAGGACAGCAGGTTCTAGGTGATGTGGTATATAGTAGACAAAGTGGAGCCGATGGACATTTGCCCATTGTTGTACCACCTTCACTGTAAAGTGAATCTCTTGGTATAAGGCATGAATTCTCAATGGGGGCAGTATTACTCCCAAGAGAGTGAAATTGGTTCTTGATGGGCAAAACAAATCTTACTCTTCTTATGTCTAAAGCACAGATATACATACAGTGCATAAACAGAGATACAGTATATCTGTGGTATTAAAATTTCATGGGAGTAGCAATTAGGAAAACAATGTCAAAAAAGTCTCCTTATGGGAGTGGTAATGAAAACAATTTGATGAACATTGGTCTAAGGTAATGTTATATGGAATTTCATAATGATACATCAAACACTCTATTAGCCTTTGGATACTGTTGCTGGCCAAGGCACTACCAGGAAAAAGGAGAATCTATTCTTGGAATCAGTCCCAGTAGAGATGAATCTCTGCTCCTTCCAGAATGGAAGGAGTTGGATGGAATCAATTTGCCACAAAGTGGCTGGTAGGTCTCCTTGAGGGATGGCCACATGTTTAGGGCTCAGCTTCAGCCTCTGGGGGCTGATTGGTCAGACATTGAGCAGTTGCTAGATCAGGCCTGGTGAGTGGGGACTCCTGTAGAGTCTTCATCCCTGCCACCATGGCCACTCTGTTTATGAGCCGACTGAGGAAACACTGGGGTGGCCAAGTACAGGGGCTGGCTGGACTCCACTGGATGAGACATCCTAGCCACCTGGCTGTTCTGTACGTCCTTTGATGGATACTCTCTTGTGGGCACTGGTATATGACAAAGATTTGCACAATTTGTTGCCTAGTCTTTTGTCTTCAGTCTTCTAATCTTGTTCCCATCAACCAGTGAAGTCATGCGCTCCTGCCCAGGGGTCTAGATACATACTTACCTTGGGCTCCTCCTCCCTTCACACCAAGTTGGTGACTAGCTGTGTTACTTGATGCACTGCCCACTGGGGGTACTTCTCTTTACCACTGTTTTTCACAGTCACTTCTGAGTGGGGCTGTAGTGTGGCAGCCGTCCACATACAGACTCACGACAGTTAACATATGGAGATGGCTTATTCTTTAACCAGTCCTGAATTTTTAGCTCTTCTCCAGTGATTGGCTTGAAGGAAACCTCCTGTGAGGCCACAGGTATAAGCTGAAGGAGAAACATAGGTGCAACAGAGGAAGATGATGGTGGTGTCTGCATTGTCTATTTGTA